GTAGCCAATGTCCAAGTGAAACTTGAATTTTTATTGTAAAACTATCCATGGGTCCTAGAAATATCTTGGAATAGAAATTAGTTGGGAAATGCTGGAGAACTTCCAGGACAATATTTGAAAGAATTTCTCTTTGTTCAAAAATCCTACAAATAGTTAATGCACAACGCAAAGAAAAAACTAAAATGCTGCTGCTGTTCCTATTAAGTGCCATTGTGTAGGTACCAACTCATAGTGACCCTATGCACAACAGAATGAAATACTGCCCAGTTTTGGGCCAACCTCACAATCATTGTTACACCTGAGACTTTTAAACATGATATCCATCTCCAGAGACTGGTCCCTCCTGATAATATGTCCGAAGTATGAGAGACGAAATCTGGCCATCCTGGCTTCCAAGGAGCACTCTGGTGATACTTCTTCTTTCACAGATCTGTTGGTTCTTTTGGCAGCTCATGGTACTTTCAATATTCTCCTCCAACACCATAACTCAAATGTATCAATTCTTCTATGGTCTTCCTTATTCACTGTCTGACTTTCACATGCACACGAGCTTACTGAAAATACCACAGCTTGGTCAGATGAACCCTAATCTCAAACTGATATCTTTGCTCTTCAACACTTCAAAGAGGCCTTGTGCAGCAGATTTGTCTAATGCAATATGTTGTTAGTTTCTTGACTGCTGCTTCCGTGAGTTTTGATGGTTGATCTGAGCAAAATTAAGTCTTCAACAACTTCATACTTTGCTCCATTTATATGGATGTTATTTATTAGTCCAGTAGTAAGGATTTTTGTTTTCTTTACATTGAGGTGTAACCCATATCGAAGGCTGTGGTCTTTGATCTTCATTAGTAAGAATTTAAATCTTCACTTTCAGCAAGCATATCACAGGTTTCAGCAGCAAATCACAGGTTATTAATGAGTCTTCCTCCAATCCTGATGCCACATTTTTCTTCATATAATCCAACTTTTTGAATTATTTGCTCAGCATACATATTGTATAATTATGGTGGATGAACACAACCCTGGCACACACCTTTCCTAATTTTAAACCATTCAGTATTCCTTTGTTCTGTTCTAACACCTGCCTTTCGATCTATGTACAAGTTCATCATGAGCACAATTAAGTGTTCCAGAATACT